GCGGCCACTGCACTCCAGTCTGGGTGACAGAGTGAGACTCCAACTCAAAAGAAAAAAAAACTAGCTGGGCGTAGTAGTGCACGCCTGTAGTTCCGGCTACTTGGAAGGCTGAGTGGAAGGATTGCCAGAGCCCAGCAGGTTGAGGCTGCAGTGGCTGGTAGCATGCCACTGCACTCCAGCCTGGGCAAAAGAGTGAGACTACTACTCTTAAAAAAAAAAGGTGGGATTTGAACCCAAGCAGTCCATGTCTAGATACCTGCTCTGACGCACCAAGCTGCCTCTGACGCACAACTTTCTTATGGAAACTGGAAAGAGTGGGCATAGGGGCCTTGCTTTTCTATTTATTTGAGTTGGGGTCTCATTCTGTTACCCAAACTGAGGGACAGTGGCACGATCACAGGTCACCATAGCCTTGACCTCCTGGGCTCAGGCGATCCTGCTTCAGCCTCTCAAGTAGCTGGGACCACAGGCTCCTGCCACCACGCCCGGCTAATTTTGTCTCATTTTTTCTAGAGAGGAGATCTCTCCATGTTGGTTGGTCTTGAAGGCCTGAGCTCAAATAATCCTCCTGCCTTGGCCTCCGAAAGTACTGGGATGACAGGCGTGAGTCTCCTTGCCCAGACTTTTTTTTCTTTTTAATAAAGTGAGGCCGGGTATGGTGGCTCAAGCCTGTTATCCCAAGACTTTGGGAGACTGAGGCAGGAGGATCGCTTGAGCCCAGGAGCTTGAGGCTGCAGTGAGCTATGATCATGCCACTGCACTCCAGCCTGGGCCACAGAGCAAGACCTTGATGCTAAAAAATTATCCAACAACCTGCTGTGTGTGGGAGTGGGTGGGCCAGGAAGAGCCCTCCTGAGGAGACCTGAGGGCTAGGAAGGTCGGGGGAGGACCCACAAGTGCAAAGGCCCGGTGGTGGGAAGGGTTGTGTGAGGTATGGAGGGAGGGTACCTATCAGCATCAGAGTACTACTTGGGAGGCACAGAAGACTCTGGAGCAGAGGTGTCCTGCCCCAGGGCCCGTGTGGGCCGTAACCCTGCTCCTTGCCCTGCCCAGGCGGGACAGACAGCCCTGATGCTGGCCGTCAGCCATGGGCGGGTGGATGTGGTCAAAGCCCTGCTGGCCTGCGAGGCGGACGTCAACGTGCAGGATGACGATGGCTCCACAGCCCTCATGTGCGCCTGCGAGCATGGCCACAAAGAGATTGCGGGGCTGCTGCTGGCTGTGCCCAGCTGCGACATCTCACTGTCGGACCGTGTGAGTCCTGCCCCGTGCAGCTGGGGGGAGGGGGGGACGGGAGCCCCACCGGGCACGGTCACAGCGGCGGATGCTATGCAGGATGGGAGCACGGCACTGATGGTGGCCTTGGACGCCGGGCAGAGTGAGATTGCCTCCATGCTGTACTTCCGCATGAACATCAAGTGCTCCGTGAGTCTCCCCACGGCAGGGCGGGGTCGGGGCCTGAGGTGGGGTGACAAGCTGGTGACGGGGGTGGCCATGCGGAGGGCCCCGTGGTCAGCTGCAGGTGGACCCTTCACACGTCCCAGGGGAGGACAGAGGCCGGGAGAGCCAGTCTACACAGTCCTGGTTGCCCAGCGGGATTCGCACTGGGGTCTGTCTGGTTCTGCATGCACACGCTCAGTCTCCAGCCAGCCATTTGAGGAATATTTGCCGAGTGCCTGTTGTGTTGAGCCCAGACCTAGTCCCTCATGGTCACAGCGCTGAACAAAACATGAAAAGGTTTGCTTTTGGTCATTGTTGTGAGCGATGGGGTCTCGCTATGAGGCACTGTGCCCAGCCTTTGTGTTTCTTTTTCTTTGTATTTTCTTCTTTTTTTCTTTTATACTCAACACCCAATCTGATGGTCTTTTTTTTTTTTTTTTTTTTGA